TCCCCGGAAATAGTAGCTTTCAGAAATAGGTAAAATTGTTCAGAAGATGGTATCTAAAAGTCTCGAATGAGCTGTTTGATGTAGTTGTGAACTAAACTGAATGCTTTTAAAATTAGGCTTTGAAACTTGCAGCTTCAGCCCCGTTTTTCTCGTTCATCAAGGTTAGTTGCAGACTACACTCCTCTGAATGAAGAAATGAGATGAAGTATGGCTCGGAGTAGTCAAGAACTGACTAGTTATTTTCTGGTTGGATTTCTGCTCTGTGTCCCTTCCATGGGATCAGTATCTCGTAACGTTCTTAAGTTCTTAACTCTTCGCTGTTCTTAAAATGCAGAAGTAACCTCTTTTTCATTTACAGTATATAACGAAAGACGAGGTGAAAATTCCCTTCCCATAGAAAGCAACCCTAACTTTCACCAAGTTTGGTTTATGATGGTTGTTTAATTTCACATGATACAGATATTGCTAGTCAGTTCAAAATGAAATTATTCTTACGCACAATGAAATTGTTCTTGTGCACATCCAAACAAATGCAACTGAGTATCAGTTACTGCAACACATCTTGTTCATTTGCATTTGTGAGTGAAAGGATATACACTCAAGTATACAGTTACCTTTTACTGAGTAACTTTATTTTAGCTGAATCTTATCCCTGCTTATCTGTAGTCTTAGAACCTGTAATATTATTTTGTGAGAGGCCCCCTGTAGTCAGTTTCTTAATTTTACTTTTTTTTTTAAATTTATTTTTCTTTGTGCATGTTTACTTCCTTTAAAAAGTCACCAGGGAAACAGTGGGTAGGTGAGGAAAACAGTTTGCTAGCATTTGAAGTTCCTGAACAGGTGAAAGTGCATAGTGTACCTGAATCCTTCCCTTAAAAAAAAAAAAACAAACAAAAACCCAAACCACCACGAAGTAGCTTATAAACTAGCTTTCTAATGCAGCCTATGCAGTTATTTATATAAATGGGAAATCACTGTAGTTTCGCCTTTGTACTTCTAAGCTTGCTGCTGTCTGTCTTTGCCAGAACTTCATCCCTTGGAAGCAACCAGTGATGCCTGTTCTACGCATTTTTATTTCTACTTAATTATAAAACAGCCTCTAAATTTCTTGATCTGAAACATCTGGTTTTGTTTTGTGAACAGGGCACAAGTTGTCAGGTTTATTTAGAAGTGTAGTGTGTGTAATGACTGATGTTAAAAAGAGCTAGCAATTTTACTTTTTTTTTTCTTCTTGAATGTTTTTCCAGACATCAAGGTTTTATTCTTTTATCTCCAAAGGCAGCCTTTGCAAGTGACCTTACATATTTTTAAGCAGGCAAAAAAACCTCCTGAGAACAGCTTAGGGATTTAACGTAGAACTGGCAGTAGGTTGTTGGCTACTTCTGTCAAATACTCTTGATTGGATTAAGAAAATAATTGACAGTATTACTGAGAAAGTAACTGTGAAATATTAAATAAGATTTCAGGTTTACTGGTATTGCTTTGATAACTTGGAAAAGACTTCATGTGTTCAGTTTGTTTTGGGAGACTTCCTAACTATGTGTTTGTTTGGAAGGTACTTGTATTTACGTTGTCTACATGTCGATCAGAGCACCTTTGTGCTACCTGATAAGCTTTTTCCAAAATTGGAGGCATATGTGTATGATAGGATTTCAGACTGAGCTTTAGAAGGCTATGTATAGAAAATAATAATTTTCGTAATTTCAAGTTTAAGACCAAACTGGTGGTGTGATTTTTCTTTATTTTTAAATTATTATTATTTTTTAAAATTCAATTCTTACTAGAAGAAGATTGTTGGGTTCCATGTAGTCATGTGTGGTTACTAGCAGGACTGTTCTCGAATTTTTCAGTATTGACCTCTGATTTTTCATTTGAGAAGCACGTGGGTATTTTTCATTGAATGGCTTTATCTGCTCAAATGGACGGAACAGGCTTCAGAAATCCAGAGAATAAATGTCCGCGTAGCTTATTTAAAAAGCCTGTGGTTTAAATGTTGCCTGCATGACTCCATGAGGATGTGGGAATTTGTGTACTTTCATTTTCTTTTTTTCTCTGATATTTTTCCCATGGTTTTTCCGTGGCCCTCTAGCCCAAGTTGCGGGGTGGAAGCAGAGAGGTGCGGGCACTTCGCCTTCTCGCTTGGTTTCCCAGGGATCAGGTATAGTACTCCTGACCCCGTATCTGTCCTCGGAACCTGCGCAACCTGGAGTGGTGCGGAGGGCTGCAGTGGTCAGCTGGCTTATGCTCAAAGACCTCATTCCTTGGCATTTTGTTTCAAGTGTATAAATTAAAGAGTATAAATCACAAAATTGCTAAAAAGATGCTCGGAGATAGGAAGGTAGTTCTTGAACAGGCTTAGGAGTCAAAAAGATTTGGAGATGGGTATAATTTTTTTGTTGATATGTAAATAGAATCACATAGAAAAGCAAAGGGATAATAGAAGCTAGTCAGCCTGATACTGATGGTCTGCGGCTCTCACAGCTTTGATGCTTCCTATTTGTGCAAGTGTATCCTTGATGAAGCTTCTATTACATTGATTGAAACGTTTGTCTTTGTGTATTGTAGGGCAAACAAATAGTAATGTACCAATACAATATTCCCCCGCAGTATTAGTAGGACTGATTCATTGATTTTAATGACATTGAGAATGTACTTAACAGGCGATTTAAAAAAAAAAATTTTTAAAAATCTTTTTAAAGATAATCTGGAATGGAACCTTATTGCAGAGTATTAGCCTCCCTTGGCGGAGGGGAAAAAGTCAAGACAAAGCACTTCTACTTTCAAAATGGGAGGTATTAATCCTGTGACAGACAGCATTGCAGTACATGACCGGAACTATCTTAAATAACATGTAGAGCTATTGTCTTAGGTAGCAGTACAGTCATGCAATAAAGTTGCTGAATTCTGGGTTGCTTGAAAGGAATCTGCTTGTCAGGGAATTCCAACTATTATAGTAGTATTTGTATAGCTTTTAAGAAAAAACTGTATTCTGGATTAATGACCCATTAAATCTAAGCGATCGTGGTAATCAATACAGTTGTTTGATCGCAACAAATTTTGTTTGACCCTAGGATTTTCAATAGACTTATATTCTGGGAACATGTTCGAGTATTTGCGTGCTCACAGGACATACTCAAGTGTCTTGGAGAAGGGTATAAACACTGTGAATCCGACTTCTACTTGCAAAATCTTTTTTTTTTTTTTTTAATTTCACATCTAGAAATTTACATACTCTTCATGGCTTGGAGTTGACAAGATATACAAATAAATACAGAAAGTTTATAAAGAAATTTTCACTTGGAACCACTGAAAATTATTTACTTGAAAGCAATGTATGCTTTTTCTAATATGGTTAAGTCTGTCCCTTTAATGATTATAGAAAGGGCTGCAGCTGAGAAGAATTCCTATGGTTGCCTGTTCTCACTGACACAGCATTTGATGGTTTGAATTTCACTGGTGTCTTAATGTGGCAAGAGGACTTCGTCCTACGAAGTTTAATTGAGCTGTGTGTTGATGCTGCTTTCCTGTTGACGATAAAATAGGAATATTTACATTTCAGTTCAGATAAGTGTTTATCTAGGTACAAGTAGGTTGTGAAAGGAAACAAGTCCTTTTCTTTCAAAAAAAGTTGTGTCTCTAGTAACAGGTCCCAGGAGTTCTTTTCCTTCACCAGTACTTCTTTCAGAGATATGCAAGCCCTTTAAAAAGCACGGGCAATTTTTAACGTTGCAGGTACTAAGTTGGTGCAGCGTATCCAGCCAGAACTGAAAGGACAGATTCTAATGTCAGCAAAACTGATTTGAAAGAAGTATTGATTCCATGTTGTATTTTATATCCGAAGCAGCCAATGGCAAATGTTGTCAAAATGGAATCAGATGTTTGTAACTTAATACTTAAGAAAAATGATGAGTGCATGTTTTTGACTTTAAGTATTCTCTGTGCTGCCTGGCTTAAGACATAAACTGATGTAAAAATAAATGACTGCCTGCATAATTTATGTAATGTCTTGCTCCCTGATCCTGTTTGTATTGATTTTTCTAAAAGGCTTTTGTGGCCACAGGAACCAATCTGTCTCTCCAGTTTTTTCCGGCCAGCTGGCAGGGGGAGCAGCGACAGACACCGACCCGGGAATATGTCGACTTTGAAAGAGAAGGAGGCAAGGTAAGAAAGAAATTGTTGCGACTGCAAGAAATTTTTATGTTGTGCTTGTGATCTTACTAGTATGGACTGCATGTATGAATGCAGAATTACTAATATTCTACATCTCGGTGCGTGTAGGTAGTCACACCAGTACAACTGAAAGCTGGTGGGATAAAATCTGGTATCGCTTTGTTTCAAAGTGTGTAAATATTTTTGGAGGGAAACATGTGTGGAGTACTGGTGGCTCTCTGTTGAAGAACAGAACTTTATACTGTCATCCTGTAACAAGATTTCAGGGAGCAATTTAAATTTAGTGTTGAGTAGGTTCTTCTAAAATGGTTTGGAAACTAGACCTTGGCCAACTACTTGTGGGAGACAATAGGGAAAATTTGCACTTTGAACAGGTTACTTCCTTGGGTCTTAGGTTGCCAGTTGATATGGCGAGCATTTGGTGTGCTGCTTAGTGGAATGGAGCTTTTTTCTGAGTTTCACCAACCATCGCTTTCACAATTGATTTCTGGTTTGGTTTTTTTTTTTTCTTTTTCCCGAGGTGGTTGTCCCATAGGCTGATACTGAAAGCTAGAATTCCCTAAAGACAGCAATGGCTACTGTGAAGCTGTATTAGATTTAAAGTCAGAAACCTTGCTTAGTCTCATTGGAATAAAGTTACTGAAATCATTTACAGCTGGTTTTGTTTTACAGGAAAAACATTCCTTTAAAATGTAGGTGCTGTCTCTTATCTTTGCTACTGTAGATGCCTTGGGACTGATCCAAAGATCGCTGAATTCAATAAGAGACTTTCTGCAGATCTTGGGAGGTTTGGACCAGCAGTTAAGCCTTTCTGTGTCAGGCTAATTTCTGTATAATTTTTTTACTTCAAAGATTTATTTTTTTAATAGACTACGAAGTTCTTGCTTTTTCCTAAAAGTTTTTAGCCATTCTTGTAGCAAGTAACAGCTAATGCTACCAAACCTACCAGGCTGGAGGAAATACTTGAAGCTTATTTGGTTTTAATGGCGTATTGGGTCTTTTAAATGCTGCTAGGTGGAAGATAAATATTTCCTATAGTGGGAAGACTTGATTGGAAGAAAAAAAAAATTCCTGAGGGCAGATATGGTATTTGGAATTCAAGTTAATGAGGTTTTTTTGGAAAAAAATGTTTTCCATTTAGTCCTGTGAGGCTTGCAGAAGTTTGACAGGCTGGGGGAGAAGGAGTGAGGTTGGCTATGCTGGGTACTGAGTGCTTTGCTAAGGAAACTGAATTGAATCTGGCTCTTATTGAAAAATATTGATTCTGGCTCACAATTGAATGAGGAATTTTTCTTGTAATGTGTAAGAAGACTGAAGTCTCTTTTCTTGCCAGTTCAAAACTAATTTTATTTACTGCTATGATTTTTTTTAACTTTGTTTTCTCTGAATGAATTCTTAAAGTACTGAACTACTTCATCCATTTTCTTGTGTTGTCTTAATCATGTAAGAGCGTGGTAGATATGCTGTGGATTAAAATGGAACATGAGCCTCGTTAATGAATGCCACTCCCTGTTTTATGTGTGTTTACAGTAAATTCTAGAGTGCTTCTCTGTAAAATGTTTAGAAGAAGTCATCTGAATGAGGCTAGAGGTGGACAAACTAATAAATGGGAATAGTGTTATGCTGTGCTATGAAGAAATCACAAATTCAGCACTGTAATCAAACTTTACTAGTGGAAATCACACGCGAACGCAGGCTTGCTCTGCGCAGAATTAAACTTGTCTGAAAGCAAGCCACTCCCGTAACTTCAGAAGAGGAGTAAGCAGAACGGGGGAGAGTTTCTTATGTTATCAACAGAAGCAATTAATTGTTTTGTATGAATTGTCTGAGATTTTTGTCCTCTGTAGATTTTTGTCGTTTGGTTTTTATTAAGAATTTCTTTTGCAGGCTTCAGCAGTCTCTTAACACCATGTGATTTTTTTTTTGTAGCTCTGTGCAACATTGTTTTATGAGCTTTGATTCTTGAGGCAGTGCATAATGTGTGTTTGTTCATCACTGGATTTAAGCCAGCAAGGCATGTTTTTAATTATATGAATAAAAAAAGGCAATGGGGGGAGCTGTCAGTTAATTATTATTTTAGGCATTAGACTGAGATCTAGAATGTAGATAAACTTACCAACACTAGAATATTTTTATTCTGGAATTCTGCTTCGGTGTTTGGCTAAGCAAATGATGGCCCAAAATAGTTTATCCAGAGTTGAAATATGTCACTATTGTGCCTAAGCAGTTCTGTACACAGACTGACAAAGCTACTGATGTGGCATCTGCTAGAATTGCTTCTTAAATGCTTTAATTTTAGAAAGAGCAACACCTTTGTGAATCCACGTGACAGTTGTGATTCTGTGAGTATCTACTTCATAGGCTTGAGGGTTTTATTCTGGTATTTCTTAACTGAGGGGTTTTTTCCTATGCTTAATTTGCCTTTTAATTTGATGCATCTGATGTTCACGATGGGTGGGTAGGCCTCTAGTGGATACCCTGTCTTCATTAATTCAAGAATTGGATAGCTAACTGTTCACTTAATGTTTCTACTCATTTTAAACTCTAGCATAACATTTTTTTTGAGATAGTTTTAACATTCTGCGCTGCCTTTGACCTGTAGCAAATTTAATTGTGCGTTTGAGCAATTTTTCAGGTTTGTCATTGCAAAAGAAAAAGTAGCACTAAAAATAGGTCCCTAGATTGTAAAAATCATAGAACATTGTATTTCATTGCGATTGGAGGGGGTCGTGGGTGCATCGCATTCATTGTATGTCCTCTTTCTGGATATCCAAACCATACCAAGGCTTCCTGATCCTTTTTGTTGGCAGCTAGTGTCCAGGGTTTGTTTTTTGTTTTCATTTTGAGAATAAATTAATAGATATTGTTAAGAAATCCAGAGGCAGACAGTATACTAGTGTAATGTATTGCCTGAAATCTCACATAGTTGAACCCTGGAATGAAATGGAGAGCTTTGTTTTCACCTTGATCCTCTGGTATCATTAATTAGACTAGTTTTATTGTACTTAATGAAATTCTTTAATTTTTACTCCCGTTTTATACTGATACCATGTCAACTTCAGGCTGAACTGTGTGTGTATGGACTTCAGTGCTTCTTAAAATCTAATTTTATTGAAAGTCCCTTTGCTTTGTTAAGAACCATGTGATCAGCTTTATTCGCATGATTCATTTTGCATACTTCTTCCAGTAAGATAAAACGTCCCCACTTTCATTTGTTATTCCAGATGTTTATACAGCTCTGATCTTTCTTACCTGCAAGAGCATTAGTTCTCAGATATTCTTTTTTTTATTGTTTAAATACCGGTTATTACACTGATGAAGTGTGTGAAGTTGTTTTACTTCCCCTCCCCTTCGTAATACTATTCTCCATCTCATTTCTAATGCAGCTTAACTTCCTGTCTGCTGTTTGGCGGCAGCTGCTCATAAACCAGAATCTTCAACACAGGCTTATTTCAGCATAATGCGCTATGAACTCCGCAGCTCTGGAGCAAAGCACATCAGACGTGATTTAAATTGATTCAGAGTGCCTGGTATGCCACATGCGTGATGTAGCTAGGATTTCTACTCACTAGACTCCCCAGAACTTTGTTCTAGCCATAACTAAATACTGCTGGACTTCAGTTTTCTTCCTGAAGGTGCTGAGTTTTTACTCATGTGCAGTTTTTTCTGTTGTAACTAGGAAATTTTATTTGGCTGTAAGTTGATGTTAAGTGCTTGGCTGAATCTAAAAAAAAACCTGAAAATCTTTGTTGTGCTGCAGAAATTACAGCACCTTTCTTTGTCATTACATTTCTGTATTTGAATAAAAATTACATTTAAATGGCAGCCAACGGCACCAGTTTTCCACTTGCGTCCTCCTTTCTCACTAGAGGTTTGTGAAATAGGACTTGTCCCCAAATCAACTTTTTCTTTTCTGACTTTAGCAATAAAATTTCATAGATTATTGGGATGGTGTATTGGCTGCTCCGTTTTCTGAGCAAATGTAATTTCTAGTCAAACATAGCATCACAGTGTACCCAGTGGAATTTGCTTGGAAAGTGAAGGCTTAGTTTATGAGAAGTATCTGAATATCGATGCTAACCTGTAATGAATTGGAAGATTTACTTTCTTTGGTTCCCACCACTTTCTGAAGTATTTAGATGAAACATTAAGTCACTCAGACAAGGTTTGAGTAGCAGCTTTCTCTTTTTCTTTCTTTAGGTGTGCTTACTTTTAAAAAAGGGTGTCTAGAAAACTGATGTGCCATTTCAGCTCTCATTTTGCCCTCACCATCGTGCTAAAAAACGATATTCCTTAAGTTTCTGTGTTCTCAGTCCAGCAGTATTTGGGGTTTTTTGCGTTGTCACCATCTAAAATGTTCTCACAGTTAGCAGTTACTTGTGTGTGTTCCCTGCAATCCACTGAGTCTCTGGACAAAAAGGATTTGATTTTAATTTTCTTCCAGATCAGTGGGAAAGGATGTCTGATGTTAGGGATTTAGAAGGAAAAAAAAAAAGTATTCTGGAGCCGTAGTATTAATCATAGATCGTACTGTGGTGTGCCACCACGTAGGGCAAACCATCTCAGCCATGAGATGCATGTGGTCTTAAGTTATCTAGACTTCATCCTTTTATTTGTCTGTAGTAATTTAATGCTCCTTCTAATTATTGTGAAGGTCTCTGTTCAGAGCACGTCAGGGGACAGTGCTACAACCCTGAAGAGCTGGGTGTCGCCCAGCAAAAGTTCACAGAGCTGCTTGTACATCGCGGAGGCATGTGGGCATATAAGACGTAACCTAGTTAAAAAACTAGCAAATGTGGTACCGTGCACATTCTTTGTGGATCATCTCCTCATGTGTGAGGGCATCTGGTGAGGACACTTTGTTTCCCAGGAGCTGTCCTGCTCATAAACACTTTCTCTTGCAGAGCAGTCTTGTTGCTTCCAGATCTGAAGTCAAGCTGAGTTTCATTGTGTAGCTCTGTACAGTCCTTGGCTGGTTTTTAGGCTAGTCC